CACACAGTGGAGAAAAAGAACTAGAAGACTCACTAGTAAATATACGGCTGGTATTGTAAGCCATATGTCCACAAAGAGCGTTAAGGGAAAAGTCAGGGAGGCGGAGAGGATTTACTGGATGGCAGCTATGGAGAAAAAACCGGCTTTGAGTAACTACCGAAAGGGCAAAAATGAAATAAGGAGGGAGGCATTTTACGATAATTCAAGGGGAAGCGCTTTACTGTTTGAAGCGAGATCGGGTTGCCTGAGAACGCGTAGTTATAAAGCAAGATTCAGTAAAGAAGAAGAACAATGCACATGCTGCGGGAAAGATAAGGAAACGGCGGAGCATGTTCTCATTGAATGTGGAGATATCCACCCAGGTGTACGTTTGGGCATGAGCCTACAGGAAGCCTTGGGTTTTAGGGACAACAATGGAAAGCTGAACACACCCGCGATTGAAATAAGTAAGAGACGGTTAGAGTATTGGTGGCAGAAAATTAGAGAGAAAGGACAAAAATAAATATTGGAAAAATAAAATATGGACAGTGTGCCGTAAATGGCAGAGAACTTAAGCTGAAAATTTACCTTTTTTCCATTAAGATAGAATTTATCGAAGTAGAGGCATTAGGCCAACATAAAAAAAAAGGAAAAAGGTTTTTTTTTTTTTTTTTTTTGTCGAGCCTGGTGGCATACTTGTCACCACCCCGTTATAAAGGGGACGCTCATAGCATCCATCCATCCATCCGATAAAACCCCTAGATGTTGGAAAGTAGCGACGCTCTTTTATCCACGCCGGCACTCTCTCGGCGCGCCGGCAACCTCCTCTTTTTTCACCCCCTCTTTCGCGGAGCCCGCGCATCCCAAGCGCTGAATGGCTGCGGCGGGCGATACCGCCCAGTCAGATGACCCTGACGTCACGAAAAGCGCGCGCAAGCAAACTTCGCGCGCTTTTCGTCAATCACGCACGCCATGAACCCTCCAGGCGCCACGCCAGCCCTGCCGCTCTGAACGTGTGTTTTTTTTTTTTTTTTTGCGTAGAAACGTGAGCTTTGTTTTTTTGTGGCAATGCCTGGCTGTTGCGCGTATCAGTGCAGCAGCAGGTCAGAGAAAGGAGTAAGATTATTTTATATCCCCCGAGGAGATAGGAATAGGAATGCCGTGCGCAGAAAGCAGTGGATACACAACATCGGGAGAAAGGACTTCGCCCCTTCTAAACACGTCGTTCTTTGCGAGGTTAGTGTTACCGATTTCGTTAAATCTCTAGATAAAGTCGTACGAAGATTTTAATGCTCTTTGCATCGCTGGACTCTCCGTTCAGTTTAATAGCGAGCACATATAAATATGGATATAGCTGGGTCTGAATGAGTCGCTGAGCTTTTTTTGTAATTCCCTGTGCCCTGAGATAGTTTTCTTGTGTTTTAGCGCGTGCGTTAGTTTTCTTAATGTGTGTAATTTGTAAATTAACGTGTGTAATTCCTACGCATGTGTGTGTGTGTGCGGGTGTGCGTTTATGTGTGTGCATGTGTGCGCCTGCGTGTATGCGTGTGTGTATGTATGCGACTGCATATGCGCGCTTATGTGTGTGTGTATGTGTGCGCCTGTGTGTTCGCGCGTTTCTGTACGTCTGTATTCGCGCGTGTGTATGTGCTTGTGCGGACGTGTATGCGTGCGTTTGTCTATGTATTCGCGCCGGTGCGTGTGTGTGTGTGTTCCGCGTTTGATGAGGCAGCTAAGGCTTTCGTCTTAATAAGTCAATTAACAACCGCTCAATGATATCTTGGCAGCAGCCGTAAAGTAAATAGCCATACGCACGGAAGCAAAGTTACGTATCTGGTATATGTATGTATTATACGTGTATGCTCATATAAAGAAAGAGCCACGTACGCGCTTTTCGTAATAGCTCTCTTCTGATAAACTTTACATCCTGAATTCTGTGAGTTAATTATAGCGTAACATAGTCTTAGAAGCTTCCATCTGAGCGGTGGGTTTTGCTTTTTTTTTAACAGACTGAGGTAAGTCCCAAAGTTAATGGAATGCAATATCTCGTCGTTTCATCGTGACGGAAGCCAGGCACGCACGGTGACTTCTATGCTTGCTTTTCGCCAACACAACATGAATTTTACAAAGCGACACTGCAGCACTTATCAAGTTCTCGTCTATACAATGTGCTGCCTACATTACATGCGCTTTATACACATCCGCGTTACAGACAGCCGAAGCGGCGACGGAGAGGTAAACCGCTAAGCCGCCAGCTGGTATGCTCATTTTTTCGAAGCGCTTCCGCTCGTATTTATCGAATCGTCTTAAAAAATATGTCTGCCATAATGTTCTATGGGAAGCCTACTTTCGTCACGACTCTTTCTTAAGGGACATATTCTCGTATAATGCTTCAAGGAGCCGATTAAACAAGCGCGCGCATTGAATCTAATGCGGCTGCAGCGAGCCAGTGGAGGGTTCAGCGTGCCGTGCGCACCGCGCCGGCCGGGAGAGGGGAGAAATCCGAGGAGAATTGAGGAGGAAAACGCGCGCGCGGAGGAGAGTGTCGCTACTTTCTAGATCTAGGGGCTTTAGTCTACGACACCGCAGCTTGCCGCAAGCGTGAACCAGCCCTCAGTGGAGCGTGGAGCGTCGCTGCTGTTTTCGCAAGCGTAAGGGAGACGCAGCGTGCCTCTTCTCTCGCGCTCTGAAATGCAACCTCGGTGATTATCACGTGGGCATCTTGAAGTCAATGCTGCATTTTCTTCGATGAAATGAATGAATAACGCATTGTAAGAGCATGTGTGAATAAATTGCAAATATTTGAGCTGTGTATATTTACTTTACTTTGTAAAAGTACACTGTAATTTTATTTAACGAGGTTTCTAATAGCGAGAGAGGGCTGCAACTGTGAAAGCTCCGCTACGGAACGGAAAACTCGTAACTAAAACGAGAAAATCGTACACGGCTCCACTGCAGCTTAGCGGGCCAACTCAGAGTGGAGCGGGCCGTAACAACGTCAAACTAAAACTCACTATATCTTAGTGAACTTCGGCGACTTTGAGCGTATCCATCCATCCATCCATCCATCCGTCCGTCCGTCCGTCCGTCCGTCCGCACGCACGCACGCATCCATCCATCCATCCATCTCTAGCCACCTACGACTTTTAGCTCTCCTGGCTGTTTCGATAATGATATCGATACCAAACTTTGTATGGCGTAACATGACTGTATGAAGAACATATTTGAATAGTGAGAACATGAAAATCATGACATGTATTTCATGAATATCATGATTTACATTTCTTGGTCCTGTAGCTCCTCCGGTGGTTTCGTTCACAATATGTTACAAAACTGGTACGGTATGACATGATTGCATGATGAACACAAGCGACAGACCCTTACATAAAATCATGAGAAGCATCTCATGTAACAACATGATTACATGCCATGCTCATGATGCGCTCACGGCCGTTTCACTAGCGTCACATATACCAAACTTGGTATTAAAGTACATAAATGGGTGACGAAGGTATGTGACTGCTGCAAACAAGATAATCATGAGATGCTTGTCATGTAACAACATGACTACAAGCTACACTCATGATGCGCTGGCGGCTGCTTCACTAGCTTCACTTATACAAAATTCTGTATTACGGTACGTGAATGGATGACGAAGGTATGATACTGGTGCAAACATGATAAATATGAAATGAGTGTCATGTAACAACATGGCTACATATACTAAGCTTATGATGCGCTCGCGGCCGTTTCGCTAGCGTCACATATACCAAATTTGGTATTAGGGTACGTGAATGGGTGACGAAGATATGTGACTGCTCCAAAAATGATAATCATGAGATGCTTGTCATGTAACAACATGACTACAAGCTACGCTCATGATGCGCTGGCGGCTGCTTCACTAGCTTCACCTATACAAAATTCGGTATTACGGTATGTGAATGGATGACGAAGGTATGATACTGGTGCAAACATGATAAACATGAAATGGGTGTCATGTAACAACATGGCTACATATGCTACGCTCATGATGCGCTCGCGGCCGTTTCACTTGCTTCACGTGTACCAAACTCAGCATTACGCAATGCGAACAGACGACACAGGTAAATGACACATCCAAGCTTGATAATCACGACATGCGTGTCATGTAACAACATGACTACATGCCACTCATGATGCGCTCATGGCCGTTTCGCTAGCTGCACGTATGCAAGATTTGGTATCACGTGATGCCAATAAATGAGAAAGGTATGTGATTGGTGGAAACATACTAATCATGAGATGCATGTGATGTGAGAGCATGACTACATGCCACAATCAAGGCGCCAATACATTTAGACATGACGCGGCGCGCTTGCTCGCCCGTGTTCATTTGGTCACGCCATGCCACGCCAGGCACCGCTCCCTCTATAAACTCGCAGGCGCGTGTCGCACGGCGTTCCTTTGACGCAAGCGCTTTTCAGCGCGTTCAGCGTCCCCCCATCATGTTTCAGTGCTCATAAGGCTCATTTATCGTCCCGCGTGATCAGGACACGTCAAAGCTGGGACCGTGCCACGGGCCCGGACACTGGTCACTGCGAATATAAGACATTAAAGGCTGTCGTCTTAGAAGGTGCATCACTCCACTTAAGAGCTACCTCCGGGATCTCATTTTTACCGATCGGTGATATCGATGACGTCAATGTTACGTCGGGTTTGCCATAATTATGGGAAAATAGTCACAATCTGCAAAGTCGTGACTTCATAAAATTATCAAGCCATCTCCTGCTCAAAGGAAGTTACGTGCTTTTCTTTCCATATTTGTAGGCGCGTGCCGCAAATCTAGGCAGTGTTCTATTTATAACTCTACTGTTAAAAATGGGAGGCATACTTTTTTATTGTTTCAAAACTTTGCCCTTAGCATAATGATTTTTTACTCAAAAATAAGCAAAATAAGCAGGTTTGCTTCTTGTATACCTGTAGAGAATATAAAAATTACATTTTGTTTTATTTTGTACAGCAGCACTGATACATCTCCGCAGGTGAACCAAAGCAAAATGTAGTGCTATGGATGGACCACCGTGCCGTGTCGCAGGCCGAGGCCATCAGTGCGACGGGACATTCCGTGCTGCGGTTTGTCGGGGGAACCATGTCACCCGAGATGCAGCCGCCAAAACTTCTGTGGCTTAAACAGGTAATTAAATGCTTAACTATGTCATTGTTTCCTTCACATTACGCATGGTGCCACCAGTGTTATGGAATCGGCACCTTTATTCAATTCGAATTCTAATTTCATCATGGGGACTTAGAACTTGCCGGAATTATTTTCCTTTAAATTCCTCGGAATAAAAAAAGAACAACCCATTCCCACTCTGGAATGGCCAGTCAGTTAAATTTTATTCCTGTACTTCCTCAATGTAGGAAAGGCACCTTGATGGTTTCGTCGAGATAAGAATACACGCCCCATGAAGGTGGTATTGCCAGGAGCATAAAATGTAAAACAGATTACAAAGGTCGAGGGCTAATTGCTTGGTGTTGTACCTCGTGCAGTGCAATCACATTAGTGATTCCCATAGGGGCAGTTCTCCCACTACCTATCGCGTTTGTATGGCCAGCATGTTTGATCGAATGATTATGTTTTAATATTGTTTAAGCCTACATGTTTTTAACTGAAATGAAAAGAGGTTTGGAAATTATTTATAGTTGGGTAGTGCACAAATTGAAAACACAAAATAAGAGAACAGACAGCATGGATTTTTTGGACAAGTGCTGAATATAACGGATTTCTTAATTTGATAATGAAACTTATGGCTGACCTATACAAGTAACTACACAATTTGCCAAATGGTACGGCTCCGCTATCTCACGTGTACGTTGATTATGGTGGTGATCGATGATCGAGTTTTGCGCAAAGGAAGGCATGCACCCGCAATCAATCGCTGGTGAGGTGAGACGAAACCCAACCCTTCAAGGGATTTTCATGCTCTGGGAGCCTGATATTGACTCTTCTGGCAGTCTGTCCGATGTAGACACTGCCACAAGTGCAACGTATTTTATATACTACCCCACGCTCATGAACGAAAGATCGCACTTTCGATTCGGCGCGCCGGAGTCTTCTGCATTTTTTAATTCTTTTCTTGCATCGATGCTGCCACTGGTGGCGAAATCCAAGTGAGAGTGTCTATATATTTGCTATCAGAATAAATTTTCGCCTGCTCATTTGGTGTGTTAAACAAAACTGTGTTAATGGCTTGTATACAATGCACCCACAATGATCACCGTATTCCTCAGCGAGGCTACCACTGTCGAAAAGACTCTTGCCACGCGGATGAAACTCTACAACCGTTCTCCGCTCCCTACTGCTTATGCAGAAGTGCACTCACCACCAACCACCTGTCCGAAACTATTCGTGAGATCGTACTGAAGGCGCTAGGGAAGCTTTTGCCTTCGCCACAGCTGCAAGTGGATTAGATTGCCGTCATTGTCTTTCAGGAAGGTTGCCAATCGCTAGGAGTTTGAAGCACCGCAGCCTCACGAAATAGCAATGAGCTACGCTGCTACAGTCCGCTATCCTGTCCCCCCTCCACGACAACGTCAAGACGCCGCACAGTTATGATATACGCTTCTGCTGCCACCACCAGCGCCCTATTCTTCACCAGCGGGACAGCGCAGTGCACCAAGAAAAACCGTCATTTGGCGTACTACTGACGAGCACCCGCTCTACTCCCACTGCGGCTAAGCAGGCCACACCTACCGTCGCTGCCAATACCACCAGACGGGCCTACGGAGATTCGTCGTCAACGCACAGCCTCCGCAGTGTGGTGAGCGACCACTTGACATTGCAGACTACCTCACAGGAGCGCTGAGGACGCCCCGACAATCTTTACGATAGCTCTCGCTAGGCCGCTACGCCTCCCTCCACCGCAGGCCGCACCCCGGCCCTGCTTAGGGCTGACTTTTGAGTCCTTATTCAGAAAACAAAGGGCAGCAACCAATGGAGGTGCGGTTGCTGTACGATGAACTCCCAAAGAACCTCTGACCTTGCGATGAAACCCCGAGAATCCGCCGCAACCTGAACGTTGACCCAACGTGAAATTTTCGCTGCTATAGGAAGACTTGACGACGCAATGTCGAAGTAGTGGTACAATTGTCGCAGCCGTGATCTGACTTTGCGACACAACTGCAACACGAGGCGATGAACTATCAACCTAGATGTTCTCAAAGACAGTCACAGCGTCACAACCCTAATCGACACCATAGCCAACTATTTCATTCTGTGAAACATTTGCCGCGCAGTTTCCAAAGATTGCCTTCGTCGGGACAAAGTCTGGAAGAAGGAATTTTGATGCTGACTGCTTGTCCCGTGCCCCCGTTGACCCACCGCCGCAGGACAAAAGCATGGCGATAGCTTCTTGGGAACCATAAACATTGATGACTTCACTGAGTGACAGCCAGCCGAACCTGAACTTAAGGGCCTTGTGGAATGCATCGAGAGCAAAACTCTCATTGCTCCAAAGGTAATCAAGCCAGGACTGGCATCGTTTTCTTTGCCAAACAGCATTCTCACCAAGAAAAGCTTCTCGTCTCATCGGGTCAATATTAGTAGTTTCCTAAATAACAGAGAATGAATTACTGTGCGAGGGCGAAATAGGTTTCACAATGAGAAGATGTACGCGTTCAAATATTTCACAGCAATTTTATACCTGTATGCGAGTCAGGTTATTAATGGTTTTTATTGGTGGTTTCCGAAATTTCTACAGATTCTGTGTTATCTTCGAGCTGCATGTTTCTTCCCACTATTCCCTTCTTGCTTTCCCACGTTCATCATAGCCCATTTTTTTCACTCCGGTCCCAGAACCTGCCTTCCACGTGGGAACGACTGGGTCTTGCCTTGGACCTGCCCGACTTCCTGACGTGGCGTGCTACGGGCTGTGCATCACGCTCCTTATGTTCCACAGTGTGCAAGTGGACCTATCAGGCTGGCTCGGCGCCAGGTTCGGACATGGAGCCCGGCTGGCAGGAATCATTCTGGATTCGCATCGGCCTTGAGGACTTGACAAAGGACAACTATCGCATCATAGGTGAGGAGCAAGCACAATTCTTTGCTTAATTAGAATCTGTTCTTCACTTCAGTCCCGAATTTTCATGAAGGTGGTATTTTACCAATAATAGGTAGTGAAAACAGGTGCTTTTCTGAAGTAGTCAAGGTCTGCAGCAAGGCCCCCAAATAACACATTTTCACGAAATGAATCATGACGAGTCAGGTGAGCTAAGTCCTAAGATTTGTACTGCCTATGTTGAAGTGACCGACCAGTTTAAAGGGTTTGTGCTTGTACGAGTATCATATGGTTCTGTTACAAATATAATTTATAATAATGATGTTGTTAAACTTTTCTTTTGTCTCTCACATATGGTTCGACTATATCTGTGCACATGGGAGCCAGAAATATGGACAAACCTCGACCTTGAAGGGCTTCACCCCTGAAAAAAAATTCCTGGTTGTGTGCCAGGCCTGGAGTCCTTTTAGGAGCGAAGCCCCTTAGGGCCCACTCTCCGCCATTCCTGTCGAAGCTCCTTGCGATGGGCCAATGCGCTGAGCAAAACAACACCTGTGCTCTTCCGGAAGATATCTCACGCTGTGCGGCACGCGCCATGCACACACTCCTTCAGTCATTACCGCCACCTTGCGTAACCCCAGCATCAACTTTAGTGCGCGCCAAGCCCAAATCAGGCAGCCGCTTGACACTTGGGCCTGCGAGGAAATTTTAATTGCATAACATCGTTTGTCGAGAGAAAAGAGTGATTTTTAGCTGATTTTGAAAATTTATTGTAAGTTGCAGGCCAAGTGCTGGTCAGCCATATTTTGCTTGCGTGTTTTCTCGGGAGTGTCGACTAGAGCACTGCATGGGCCAACGTTTCGGGCCAGGGCCCAGCCTGGTTCATAATCTCCATGCTCCGGCCCGTGTGAGCCCGGCCTGATGCCTTTAAATACAGCCCGTACCCGGTCTGAACCGGGCCAGCCCAACACGTTTCAGCCAAATATGCCTTGAGTATAAACAACGCACTGTCCGATCTTCGGTTATTGTGTAGACAACGGAAGCACACAAGATAACTTATAGAGAGTGTTGTGTATATATGTTCTGTTAATTATGCCTGTAACGTTTTTTTTGCAATATTCGCAGTAGAATATAATATTCTATTTGAATCATAACTGGCTCTCTCGTGTCCGCAGTGCTAACAACCATGCTATCTCCTTTTTGCATTTCAAAAAACTTCGAAATATAGTACCTCCATAAAGTGGAAAAATGACACAGATTCATATTCCAAGTCTACATAAAGGGCAAATATAAGCTGGGACTCTTGAGTGAAAGTAGGAAGTCACCTGCAAATTTGTTTATTGCACAATGCATTAAAAAATGCACTTTCACTGCTTCTGGCAGGAAAACACCAAACTTCGTATTCTTACATAAAGCTGTCGTGTCGACTCTTCGGTTAGCAACTGTTCCCAACGTACATCAGGTTTTCACGCTCATAACAGGAAGGCTCTTCACATCACCCTTTTTTTCCTGGGTTACCGCTACCACCAAAGTGAGCAAGGAGCCATCGTTTTCGCGGTTCTCTTGACGATGCCTATTTCGTAGTCTTTGTGTGATCACCTGCGATCTTTAAAAGTGTTGGGTCTTAAAGCAAGACGTATCAAGAGCTTTCAAGGTAGCTGTCTGTTGGAATGCCAAAGCGAACCACCCAGCGGCATCTTCAGCACTCTCGGCAGAACAAGGTGTGTCAAGTGCCCAGAGTGTGATTCCCCGCAGAGACAGGAAGCGGGATAGTGGGTTGCCCAGTCGCCAAAGGCCATGGTGCGATATGCTAGGAGTGAAGTCTGGCTGCCGGTGGCCCATGGTAGGGGTTGCAGACTGGCAGCTCGCCTCAGCGACATTGAAGGGAAGTGAGATGTGTGGAAGAAAGAAAACAGTAGTGACTATGGTGGGGAAGAAAAAGGTCGCAGGTAAAGAGTAAAAATTTTGGCAGAATGAATGTACTTGAAAATCGATGTTATGCGAAGCATTCAGAGGGAACACGACTGTTTTGTAATTTTGATTGAGTGAAATGTTAAGAAACAATGTTGAAGATAAGTAGAAATGTTGTATGCACAGACAGCAGTGGTAAGCTGATATGTCGCACTTGTGCTCTCGAGGATGCATGGTAGCTCTTGACTCTGCTACATAAATAAACTTCATTGAATTGCGCTTAAGGACATTCACGTATACTCAACGTGGCGGCTGTATTTTAGGAGTACATATTTAATGTTTAGTATTGCAATAGCAATTGTATGAACACTCTCGGCTAGAACGGAAGAAAAAATAGAAAAAAGACTCCGGCGCACGGAATTGAATGTGGAGCTTATGGAACATGAGTGCAAGCATCAAGCACTGAGCCATGGAGGAGCACGTTCCTCAAAGTTCAAACGGCAAGCTATTTATATCTACCACTTAGAGCTAGTGACGGGCATTTTGGGGGGGGGGGGGCTATTGTACTGTTAGTGTTACTAGCAAGGTGGCACAATGAGTGCGCGTCGCCACATCCTCACGACCAAGGTCACAATTGCGGCTGGGTGTGCTCTCATCTCCCCCGTGCACCCCCACGGAGAGTAGAGGTAGACGCTCACTCACGCGCCCTTATCTCATGGTGAGGAGGATCGCACGTCTTGGCTGGTGTTCGGCTTTCACCGGAACAATTCTGTTGTAGATAGCGGGCGCACAAAGGTCACTGAAATTGTTGCAGAGTCTCTGTTTGCAAAAAGAGAGTGCTTTTCAAGCACAGAAAAGTAACAACTGAGACGCTTGTTTGCGTTCATCTGTACCTCTGAGTACGTTTCGTGCTTTATTTGTGCATGAGAAACGCGGGGCACGTTTCGACCTGGGGCGCAATGCAGGATGTCCCCGCCTTCTTGGGCTGCAGAGTTTGCTCCGAGCTCACTTGCGGTGGCTGTGGCATGAAGACAGTGCGGAGCGCGTGATAGCATCGTTGATGAAAAAGGCTACAGGAACACGTGTGTAGTTAGAAATGCATGTGGGACATTTGCGGCGGTTACCAAAGAAACACCACGTGCGGACATGTCAGCGCTGCCACTCACTCAACATTTTAGCAGTGCAGCCAGGCTAGTGTGAATGTCGTACTGTATTTTTGCCAACTACACAAGTGCTTCCCACAGGCGTATTCGGGGGCATAAGTACTCTTTCGCACAGGGTATTTTGTTCCACCTGCATAATGAAAATCTCCCCTGTCGAAGACAGCAAGGCTGCACACGCAGCGATTTCAGGCTGCTTGTTTCGCTTCTATCAAGTATTGCGGATAAACTTAAGGACAGGTGGTCACCAGAGGCACTTGCATATTGTCGGCAACACGGCTGTGATTGGATATGTCGTTAACGCGGCAAAATTGAATATGAGACATATCTATTAAAATAACGTTCGCCAGCTGTTGCGAGCATTGCGTTAGATGGAGCGGCATATGAGATTCAGAATAGCGTTTGCTCCCGCTAGCCAAAAGTCTAGGAACTTTCGCCCTGACCGTAAATCTGAATGCATGGAAGCTACACACAGCACTTCGCGGGCCTCGCATACCACGATAACCGCATGCTATTTCGAATTTTCTGCGTATGGGCCACGAACGCGAACGGTGGCTCACGTTATGATGCATGCGCAGTGGCAGCGATCGCACCGCAAAGGCTCGCGGTGCGCTACTCTCAACTTCTCTCATAGTAACCAGATAGTGACATAACCTTCACGTCTGTGTGTGTGCATAGTCAGCACGATAAAGCTGGTAGAAGAACCGTGCGCTCGCTGGCGTTGTGGCATGAGCACTGCTCCTCGGCAAGAGCAAAAGTGATGGGCAGACTCGATATTCATCGCAGGCGTCTGTCAATCAAACTGATGGATGCGTGAATTCGGATACAAACTCATTGATTCTGAGAAAGCACAAGTTCAACTTGTGACTGTGATGGTGCCGCTGTGGCTGTCAAGCATTTGATGCGGTGAACGCTACAGAGCCACAGAGAGAGAGCACCCTTGCGCACATGCGACGTGCTTTTAAATGCAAAAAATTTTTTAGGTGTTCTGTGGTGCGTCGACTTCGTTTAGTTGTTTCGTGTTAACGTTTGATTATATTCTTTTTACGTGCTTACCACAAGTGTGACCGTTGACCATGGATAAAGTACACCACTAGCCCTTCAATACAATGTTTTTGATGCGGTGATGACCGTCTTAGCAGTGAATATGTACGTTATAAGGCGGGTCTTGTGAGAGCAATAAAAGATCACCTCGCACCTGACGGTGTTCTTTCGTGAGCGATGGCAGTGGCTGTTGGCGTCGCGGAAGCTCGATTACTTTAGTGGAGGAACTAGCATAGCAGGGCGCAAATTTACTATAACATTATAGCATTGCTGTGCCTGCATACTTCTCTGCTTCAGATGCTTCTCGCCATTCCCCTCGTGTGTCAACATGTTGTCATTGTGCGTGCCACAGTTTTATTGTTAGCGCTGTGGCTGTGGTGGTTACTATTACTCTGGATTTGAAATACTCTTTTCACAAAGGTGAATGAGAGCGTTAGTACTTACCTGCTGTGCAAACCTGTTACTAGAAGTGCATTTTGTGTTGAGTTTCTCACAACAAAAGAAAATTATGTGGACGAGAAAGGCATATTGCACGTGTGAATGATTCCGTCCTACCTCTCAGGGCTGGAATGGGCAATTCAAAACGCATGAGATTGAGAATTTGGTTTAACTGACAGAAGCCATTTGTTTACTTTTCACAAAAGTCTAGTTATGATGATATTTAAAAAATTTCTGATCATTGTAACTCAGTCTGGCAAATAAACGCTCGGTGAAACTTTGCAGCCTGTTTCCTTTGTGCTTTCACCTGCCTGGTAGCATAGCCTCATTGGGTGTCGCGTGACTATGCTGGAGGATGCAGGTGCGACTTCTGGCTATGGTGGCAGTATCCGAATGAGGGGAAAATGTAAAGAACACTTATATGGCGGTAGCGGCACTGTATACCTCCACCAATTGTATATAATCCTGCTT